TTTCCCTAAATCTGGCTAAACTTCCCTGCTTTGGGGTGGTTGGGCTTCACAGTCTTTCCCCCCTGGCTTACGATGTATCACTTCAGAGGAGCAGTGTTTGGGTATCCCCCTTGACATGAGGGTAAAGAAATGCAAGACTTGACAGTCATTTCTGAATATTTTTAATTCAAAGTTAATTCAGTATTTTTAATTTAAAGTTCAATAGTAAAAGGTTTCCAGCCATAACAGCAGATCTCACTCAATTAAGACCAAGACACATGTACAACAGTGCCGTCGGCCAGGATTTCTCCCCAAGAGATTCCCCACTTCAAGATGAACATGGTTTCCAGCACGGCAACCCCAACCATCAATGACAAGGACCCTGACTGTCCCAGCTCTGCGGGACAGCAGCACCACCAGCCTCTTCTCCAAGGAAAATACTCTCCAAACCAAACCTCTCAGATGCAGACCTGGAACTGAGCTCCCCACACCGAGGACAACAGAGCAGGAGGAGGACAGATGACTCGCCCAAATCCTGAGCAGAGGTGACGGCTGATGGAAGAGCTGAGCAGTGACTCTGTAACATCCACACGCTGCTCAGCTCAGTGAGTTTGAGGTCTCCTTGGAGAGGCTTCCGGGTGTCTTCTCAGGAGAAGCCAGAGGAGGAGATGGCAGCAGACAGGGTTTGGGGCAGCAGAGATGGTGGCTTGCAGGCAAGCCTCCTGCCTGGACACAGGCAGAGAGGGAAGACACAGAGACAAGGACAAGAACACCATAACGTTGACCGCTGGTGCGTGGAGGGCCACAGAAGCAAAACCAAGGTCACCACACGGCAACATCCTGGCACAAGCACTGCCTCATCCAGGTGCAGGCGGTGGGAGGTCAAGGTGAAAAAAACCTGGGGGAGCCCACACCTTCTCCCTGCAGGGACGGAGTCTGATAGCAGCAGGGAATAAACGTGGTTCATCCAGCTGAGCAGGCACCCAGAAAGCTCTGGAGCCACCGGCATGAGGCAAAGCCAGACTCTCCTCCACCGGCATCTCTGGAGCAAGCCCTACCCATTCTCCTGCTAATAAAAACCCCTGCACTGTCTCCCAAGCCCCAGCTGAGCACGAAAAGGCACCTTTTTCCTCTTTAGGGTCATTTATTTATAGATTTAAAGAAACAAAAATAGAAGAAGAGGAAAAGAGTGCACACTAAGTAAAAAAAAAAATTCATTGCAACAAAGCAAGAGCAGAAGCTGGGGGCGGGAAGGGGTCTCTCTGCCGAGCGAGCAGCTTTTGAGAGAGGGGTCATTTCTCCTGTGTGCACAGCAACCGAGGTCAGCAGAACTCTCCCTTCAAAACCCACCGAATTCATTCTCACAGTATCCTATGTAGAGGGGCTGCGCCTGGACACCACGCCTGGAAAGGGAGCAGAGAGATGGCATCACGCAGAGGGCACAGGCAGAGCCCACCGTCAGGTTTGAGTGGTTAGAGGAGCACAGGTTGGCCATCGGCGCCCCGTTTCAGGTGTGACAAGGAGGAAGCAGTTTTCATCCTGCGCTTATAGGCTCGTTTTTTTGCTCACACGTGGGAGCATAGGGTAAGGGCAGGTTTCCTGGGGAAGCTGGTGCTGCAGGGGAGGTGGCAGTAGCTGACGGGTCCCCTTTCCTCAGCACAAAGCCCTCTCCTCATCAGAGCCACCAGCCCACGCCAGCAGCAGGGGCTCTCTTCCAGCACTGCACAAAGCAAGCTCTGCCCACGCACAGGCAGGAGAAAGGCTCAGAACTTCCCATAAGAACAAGGGTTATTTTGCACCAGGGAAAGCCCACTTCACCCTTGCTGTCCTCCCCAGGACTGAACCCCAGAGACGGTGGCATTTGCGCTGTCCCCGTGAGACAGCATCCAGCTGCGAGGAGAAATGGTTACCCAAGAAGCTTGCAGCGGAAGTCAGCCAGCCGCACGTAGGCATCTTGCAGGTCCCTGACGGTTGCGTTACTCCACAGTCTCTCAGCTATGGCCCCAGCTCTTGGCCTTGGAGGAATGAAGAACAGAGGCAGTCAGGTCAGGGGCCATTTGAAAGCTGCTCACACAAAGCCCTGAACTCCCAAACACTTTCCCGACCAAAGTCCTTCAGCACACAAAGGCACATGGCTTCTGTATATCAAAAGATCCACTCCTAGACACATGCAGATCAGGATGTACCGGGGTGACAGGACAGAGATGAGCATTAAACACGTAGTGCTTGCAGCAGCAGGTTGTACAGGAGCATTTTACAGTCCTACAAACCCTCATTTAAGCCTCAGTGAAGCTGTTACCAGCACAGAGGCACTGCCAGGGGACAGGGACAAGCACCACACACAGACCAAACCCACAGCATTTGGCACACGTCGCTCAGTGGCAAAGAAACGAGCCTGAGCCCTGCCCCACACAATTCGAGCTAACCTCCCCATGGCTTCTCTTACCAGAGCCTGGGGGCCAGGTTAGTGACGTCCACATATTCACCCCACATGCACGCCTCTCCGCCGATCACCCGATCCTTCTGCTCAGGGCTGCCTGCCAGAGGACACAGCATTCAGGTGACAGGGGTTGTAAGATAACAGGGTGACTTATCGCCCTGCCAACAGAGGTGCCTATAACACCAGTGAGCGGCTCAGCTATGGAGGCGATAATTTGCCCTTCTGGAAGCCCCCGCTTCAAACCCTGGGCTGGGAGAGAGCAGAGTTGTTTTCTGTCACCATCAAGGGAACGGGACATAGCACATGAACCAAGGACACGGTCACTCAAGCACCTTCACACCAGCAGTGAGAACAATTTAGCAAGGGACCCAGCCCTGGCACTACCTCTGAGTGACAAGTCAGCTGTCATAAGGGAAGGGGACACAAGGAACACACCTTCAAACCCCAAGGGCTCCACCTGGTAGGCTGCCATCCAGTCCTGCCCATAGGAGATGTGGTTGAGGTACCAGGGGGCAGAGAGCAGAGCCCGGTAGCCAGCCTTGGTGACATTTGCCATCTCTTCCATGTACGGCATGGAGTTCTCCTTCCACACGTGGATGATGGTGTCTGGCCTCACCTGAAGAACACACGTGAACCCAGTGCACGAGGTGACCACAGCAACAAGAGCACCACCTCCCCTCACAAGTGGGGTGCCCTGACCCATCCACAGCTTTGAACACCCCCAAAGGGAAACCGAGGCAGACATTGGCTTGACTTTTGAGCCACTTCCCATCTGGTTTACAGAAGCAACAGAGGGAGGAATAAGTCCATTTGCAGAGCACCCTAGGCAGGGCTAAAACCTGCCACTTGCAGGTGTATATACAAGAACCTGGAGGAAAGAGCCCATTGACAGCAGTGTGACAAAGCCACCAAGAGGGCAGCACCATCTCAAGATCAACCCCCATGCTGTAACAGAGTAACCCCCGCCAGCCCCAGCACGGCACCCCCAGAGTACACCAGTGTGTCTGGCTGGGGTGCTGGCACTGTTCACCCCAGCACAGGCATCTGCGTTAGGGAAAGCAGGCAGCTCTCACCTTCACTTCGTTGTCAAACACCTCCTGCCACACAATATAACCTTTGCCGAGGGAAGAGATGATGTCCAGAAGCCTGGAGTGGAAAGAGAACGGAGTTTTGGGTCATCCCAACTACACATCCCTCTCTTTGCTGGTTGCATACAGCCAAAGCAGCAGCACCGATATTCCCAAAACCCGTAGCAGGACGGGAAGGTACTTCTGAAGGAGAAGGGAGAAAGCATGGCCCCTTATGGGGCTTCTTTCTCCTCAGCCCCAGGCTTTTTTGTGGTCAATCTCCCAATAAAACATGGCTAGGCTACTCCCTTTGGGGTCAGTGAGACGTGCCCCAATGGGCATGCTCCCAGAAAGGAGATCTGGTGTCCCCGAGACAGCAGAAGACATTTGTGCTGGTCACATACTGCAGCTGCAGGCCCAGGATGCAGGCATCCTTACCTCTGGATGTAGAAGGACTCTAATTTTTTGTAATCTTCACCAAAGCCCATCTCCTTCATGAAGGCACGAATTTTTGGATTGGATTTCCTGTATACCAAAGAGAAGAGAATAAACGCACTGCAACCCAAGCTCTGGAGTAAGGCCAAGACATGGCCAAGTCCTTCCCACTCTGTCCAAGGCTAGCCCAGGCATTCCAAGAGCTGTGGCTGCACTGGCACCAGCGGCTTCCCACAACCAGCGTCACCATCAGCACAGAAACCCCAGACACCAAACACAGAGCCTCAGGGAGCAGGACACCAAAGATCTGCAGATGATCAATGGGCTGGGACTCCAGTCCCAGATACTTCTCCCCAGTTCCCATCCAGACTGATCAAGACTCACCAGCACGTGAAGTCCACCTCATCACCACCGAGGTGAAGAAAGAAGTCTGGGAACACAGTGCTGACCTCTTGAAACAAACTGGTCACAAACTGGTAGGTGCTGTTAAGGATGGGGTTGATGGGTCCATAGGTCCCAGAAGGATCCTTGCCCAAATAGCAGGGAGTCAGGAGGCCTGGAGCACCTAGATCGTAACAAACACAAGACAGTGAGAAAGGGGCTAAGCATGGCCATATCACCCGCCTCAGCACGGCCCAGAGCCTGCCAGGGGACAGAAGACCCAGGCATGGCACACAAGGCCACACAGCAGCAGAAAAATGCTCTCTGGCTCAGGAAGCCTGATCTGATGGGGAGGGATCCATGTTCTGCACTCACCTTCTGCCCCCACCCCTCCGCCCCGCACATCCACTGCTGCCCCAAACACATGCTCCCAGGTGAGATCAGCAGGGCTCGAGCCTTCTAGGCAGAACACCCCTTTTCCCCCCCCTGCAACAGCTACTCTGAGGATGGGACACAAGACACACCACATCCTTGAAGGATGCTACAGTTTCCACCCTTCCCAGGCTTCCCCTTGGTATCTCTCATTGTGGGCCCCACTGCTTTTTTCAGGAGATTCCTATGGGAAACCACACACAGAGCTGCTGGGGAAAGATAATGCCACTGCAGTCCCAGCACCCTCTCCCAGCTCCACACACCCACTGCAGACAGGGAAGGGGGGCAGCCACAGTTTTGGCTGAAACCACATGCACAGGTTGTACTCCAGTGCAGGACACTGAAGGCAGGAGAAGGAGAGAGCAAGACAAGGCAACGTTTTCCTGGAGCTTCTTGCACTTCCAGACATGGAAGAGGAGGCACTTCCAGTCCTCGGAGCAGGGAGCAGCGTGTCAGGACTGGGGCACAGCTGAGCAGAGTGAGGAAGCTTCGTTAGCTGCACCCCCAGTTAAACCCCATGTCCTTGCAATGCCCATGACGTTGGTTTTGGCAGAGGAGACGTTCCCCCAAAAATTTCCCAGCTTGGACCCAAGAAGAGATGGAAACATTCCCTTTGGATTTTGCTCCAGAAGTTGGACCTACTTCCCCCAGATGATGGTTTGCTCCTCCTCAAAGCTAGCCTGTGGGACATGGCTGCCCACACATGGCTTTTGGGATCCAGGCTGCAGATTCCCTTCCTCCACCCCGGTACAACTACAACTCCACTCACAGCAGCAGCAGGCAGCGTCTGCTCCTCACCTGGACCCCAGGAGAGGGTGTGCCCAGGAGTGTCAAACTCTGCGATGACTCTGATGCCACGCAGCCGGGCATACTCGATCACCATCTGCACGTCGCTGGCTGTGTACACATGGGTCATGGCATTGAAGGCTCCCTGAGGGAACATGGGAAATCTCAGCGCCTTGCTCAGGTGCCGAGGGATCTGCTCACCCTGGGCTGGGTGCTACATGGTGATCGGGGTGGGTTACCTGCTTGCTGAGCTCTGGGAAGGTCCAGCTCTCATAAGGGAAAGACGGGTCGTCCACAATGTGCCAGTGAAACACATTGAACTTGTTGTAAGCCATGACGTCCTGGGAAGGAACAGGAACAAAGGTGAACATGCCCTGTCCCTTCTGAAAGGTCAGCCAGCTTGCCACAGAAAGGGGACAAGGTCCCCATGCTCCAAAAGGACAAGGCAGAGTCCCTAACACTCCCCAGGATCCAAGAGGGATTCTGACACCTCTCTTCAAACACACCAGCACCATAAATTGTTGCAGAGGGTCAGTAGTCCTTCTACTCACAATAAAATACCTGTTCTCCCTATAACTGAGCCAATGGTGGAGACCTGGAAGTTTAATTCTGCTTGGGATGACCACAGAACCACCACCGACCTTTGTCTAATGTGGCTGGGAAGAAGTCAGTTGCCTCAGAAACAACCCAGCTTCGGAAAGTAATCTGGATTGCAGGAATCCAAGATACCTCAGGGTTTTCTTCCCTATCCTATTTACAAAGAAAGCCAAGAAATCACCCAAATGAGGCAGCTGTGAGTTACACAGGGAGCAAACACAGCCATGAGCGCTGAGAAGGACCTACAGCATGGAAGCATTTTGCCATGATGCACATCCGTGTATTAAGAATTGAGGTCATGCTGCCATCCCACCCCAGCCTGCTGCTTCATCTAGGGACATGCAAGCTGGTTTTATTCGAAAAGCCTAGGTCTGACAAGCTCTTCCTCGATGTGATGTAGATGCAGCAGCCTACGCATCAGACAGCTCCTAGGATCTTTGGAAAGGAGCAACAAAAAAAAGCGAAAAAAGCCCTCCAGGCCACTCAAGGAGCCCTCAGCTGTCCCAGTGGTAGGGACACTCAACTAAACCACCTCATCTCCCAGCACAGGCACCCTACCAGAGTTTCCAGGATGGCTCTCAGCGGCAGGTAGTGACGAGAGGTGTCCAGCAACAGTCCCCGGTGAGGGAAGCGGGGAAAGTCCACAATTTCTGTCTTGTTGATGTAGTACTGCACGCAGAAAACACAAGGAAGAACTGAGCAGGGCTCCAGGCAACACAGCCATTAGCAGGAGACAATCAGGGTCACCTTTGTCCCCAGGGCTGGAGGGATGAGGAGGGGTAACCTCACTGCCCAGAGTGCAAGCTAGCCAGAAAGAGCTGCAACACTTCACCCACTCAGAAGGCAGGGATCTGGCTGGATTCATGAATCTCTACTTGGCCCTTGGTGAGGCTGTGCTGCACTGCTGGTCCCCCCCTCATCCCGAGTATCCCAGCAATCTTCAGCCTGTCCCCATGGAGGCAGGAGCATTATGGAGAGTTGACTGCCCCCAGGAGATGAAGCCAGGACTCACTGTGCCGTTCTCATCTCTCCCAACAAGCTGGCTGAATGTTTCTAGGCCTGCAGGAAAACCACACACAGTCACTTTCTCAGCACAGATTCCCCCAAAGGAACAGAGCTCAATTAACAAATAAGTCTATGGAAAGAGAGAGGCACAGAGAGACATCCCCATAGGCCTGGGGCAGGGTGAGTGGGAATGCCTGACAGAAAGCACACCTCACCTCTGAGAGCTCCCCAGACAGCATCCGCAGAGAGCAGCAAGGAGCCTTCCGAGACGGACAGCTTATCTGAAACACAGCGTCAGAGGGGCTGGCGCTGGCATTAGGTCCCACACTCCATCACACACCGCTACAGGCCGTGACAGCCCCAGCTATGGGGTTGCAGCAGCACCAGGCAGAGGTTTTGATACAGGACTGCACCCTGGGGTCCCAGAGAACTAACTTCTGGGTTTGGTTTTTTGTTTTAAACCTCTCCCACTACTTTATCAGCATCCTCAGGTAAGTCACTCCCTCCCTGCCCCTGTTTCTCAATAATACAGTGAGGATGCTACCTCCCTAAAATTGGGGGTAAGTGATGCACGGTGCTATTTCCAACTGACAGGTACAGAAACAGCTGTGCTCCCACTACAGTTGCTCCCTCCTGCTCTCAACCCCAATACTCACAGCCTTCCTTGGAGTCCAGGCTGGGAAACCCATTGCAGCCCGGTGTGGCAACAAAGATGAGGAGCTGAGTGCAGGGCGTCCCCCAGGGTTGCTCGTTCTCTGCAAAGGACACAGACCACAGACATCAACCCCATCCTGGCTCTTTTCCCTGCTTCCAGCCCATTGCTGTCCCCACAGCCCAGCCTGCAACGGAGGCACAGAAGTACATGGAATTTTAACACACGTGGCAGAAATGGGCAGCCCCTCCTTCACCCCACAGCAGGCACAGGGGTGTTCAGCAG